TATAGAAGGCAACGAACCTATAGAAAGCTATAGCATCGGAGAGACCTTACAAACATGGAGGTGAAAGTGACACTGATCGTTGCCATTGTGGCTGCTCTTGCTATCTCAGGTAAGAAATCAAATTATTACTCGGTATTCCTTGATAAGTGCTAAATATAGAGCCAACGAATAGCTCACAGAAGTATATATGATTATTTCATATTTTATAATATGCATTTCTAAATTGTTCGTTACACAATATAATTTATATTATTTCTTAAGCCTACACCAATCCGTTGGTCGAATGGCAAAAGATAAGAATTATCTTTATGTTCAATCTGGTATTCAAGTTCAATTCAGTCAGAATTAGGCGTTTTGAATATCGAACCGATAGGGTTAAACATAAAGGGAAAAAACATCAAAGAAGGCGAGTTACCATTCTTATTTGTCACCTGCCATAACCCAATGTAGAGCTAAAGATAATAATGCAGAATGTGATCACTTAATTAATTCGATTTTATTCTTCATTATCCCCTACAGCTCACGCACAAAGAGATTACAATGAACGACGAGGAAATGAGAATGGCAGAGAGAGAGGACAAGGTCGCTTTGGAGGAAGGCCTGGTGGAATGCAGACGGGTGGACCGAGGCAAGATGGTGGACCAATGGGTGGAAGAAGGTTCGATGGACCTGACTCTGGTGCCCCACAAATGGATGGACGGAGACAAGATGGTGGACCAATGGGTGGAAGGAGGTTCGATGGACCTGGATTTGGTGCCCCGGAGATGGATGGACGGAGACAAAATGGCGGTCCGATGGGTGGAAGGAGATTCGACGGACCTGGATTTGGTGGCTCCAGACCAGTTGGTGCTGGAGGAAGACCTGTCTTCGGCCAAGGAGGCAGGCGTGGTGATGGAGAAGAAGAAACTGATGCTGCCCAACAAATTGGTGATGGTCTAGGAGGGCCCGGTCAGTTTGATGGTCCTGGACGTCGTCATCATGGTCACCGTCAAGGTCATCCTCAGGACCAAGCAGAGGAACAACCGTTTGGTCAGCGCAACGAAAGCAGCGAGGAGGATGGCCGTCCTCACCCTCACCACCATCGCCACCATGGCCACCACCACCGTCATCATAACCACACAGAAGGTCACCAAGGTCATAATGAGACGGGAGATCAAGATCAGGACAAACTACATGATACAAGGCCCTTCCGGTACAACCACTTCGGTAGAAAGCCTTTCGGAGACCGTCCCTTCGGCAGACGCAACCATACAGAAGGTCACCAGGGTCATAATGAGACGGGAGACCACCCCCATCGTCATCACAACAAGACCAGAGATGGAGATCAGGACAGACCAATGTTCGAGATGAGGCCCTTCCGGTTCAACCCCTTGGGTAGAAAGCCTTTCGGAGACCGTCCCTTCGGCAGACGCAACGGAACCGAGGAAGGATCTCCCAGGCGTGATGGCCAACGTCGGCCCTATGGTAACCGAGGACGATGAGGTGAGAATGAAAGTGAGGAGAAGGAGCATCCAACGACGGAAAGCGTAACGACATCTTCACCACCTGAAGTGGTCGCAATCAATGAAGAAGACATCAATGTGGTCGCCGAGGTGTAGAATTTGTTTTTAAAATATTGCTTGTGTAAATATATTGATAATAGTCATCAATGTCTTTCCTTGGACAGAATGCATATCTTACCAGAGACAACAGCATGGATTGTGTCTAAAAATTCAGATACAAGAGACTGAAAGCCAGTGAAAGGTGCATGAAAATGCTGACGAATTATCAAACTCTTATTTATACTGAATTTTTGAAGACTTGTTAAATAAAAATATATAATTGAAATCGTACAAATACTTGTGAAGCGTTCAATATTAAAGCCCCTTATATATTTTCATTATGCAGCTGTGATTGGTTGAAGAGGTAAAAGAGAGATAGATAGACAGAAAGGCAGAGTGAGACAGACAGAGAAAGATGGGAGTGAGAGAGAAGAGAGAGAGAGAGAGAGAGAGAGAGGTAAAAATAGATAGAAAAGGTAGAGAAAGCAAGGGACAGACAGAAATAGAGATAGATAGAGATAGATCACTGAGATAGAGAGAGAAGGAGAGAGAAACAGACACAGAGAGAAACAAAGATAATTTATAAAGAGATGGGAGTGAGAGAGAGAGAGAGAGAGAGAGAAAGAGTGAGATAGGAGATAAGAGAAGATAGATAAATAAAGATTAAATATATAAATACATAGAGAGAGAGAGAGAGAGAGAGTTAGAGAGAGAAAGAGAGAGAGAGAGGGGGGAGAGAGAAAGAGGGAGAAGATAGATAAATATACATATATATATATAATTTGAATGCACGAAGTAGGAAATTTGTACGCACATTCATGAATTTGATTTCACCGAAGATGAATAAGAGTGCCGATAAATAAAATTGATTGCTCGGATTTTGAATTTGAATGCCCGAATTCACCTGCGAGCGACTTCTATGTGAATTTCAAGTTTCAAGTTTATTTTGGTTCACATTTCACCAAAAAAAAGAATTTACATAATTGACAAAATTAGAACATAATATGAATATACTAAAAGAATCACGTTATATAATCAATTCTTTGTAAAGACGGTGAAATTAATTGTATTGAATAGTATACAAATATGCACTGTCTTGAGAGGTTATGGTTAAAACTATGCGCAATCGGTGACACCAATAGGCAAATGGTACTTTTGGAGTCACCGAGGCCCATAGTTTTAACCAGTACCTCGAATAGAAGGCATGGTATATTTGTTTTATATCCTGCATCAAACATTTATTTAATTTTTTTTTTAAATACCATTTAGAAAACAAAAATTTAGACCAAAAAATGTCAATTGTTATCTAAAAAGATTTGAAATATTTTGTTTTCATTAAAATAAGATTTGAAAAAAAAAAATTATATTAAAAAAAAAAAAATCCACATTTTTTCCAACTCCCAAATAGTACACTCAAATAGAGTAGTACTTCAATAGATAAAATGTTTCTGGTCACGTGACGAGCTCTCAACCAATCTGCTTTCTCGTTCTCTTTCCGCTCTGCTGCTCCTTTTTCTATCTAAAAACGGTTACCTCTGGGTTTTTGTGTTTTGTTTTGTTTGTTATTAAACAATGTTTTGGCTTTCGATTGGGCGGAGGATATGCCCCGTGCCTCCCCATTTACTTGACTAATTGCTAGTCTGGGGAAGCCATTTCCAGCAAGAACACAAGCTTTTGCTTCTTTTTGTAAGAAATTATAGTTCATTGGATTAGATCAAGGTGTAGGCCAGCGTTTTTTACCTTTTTTTTTTTTTAGTCAAGGCACCTTTTTAAGAAACAAAAAGGTTTCGCGTCACCCTTATCCCAAATTAATATTCAGAAGATTCTTTTTATATCACTCTGACACTCGTCCCGCTCCATGACACTTTTAATACGATAAAAATTGACTTTATAGTCAACACACTAGATAAAATATAGAATTAAACGTGCAGGCACCTCGCTGCCGAATACATTGATACAAAACTCAATATGTGCAGTCAATTCGAAGCACAAATATGAGGAGATTCGGGCATCTCATTGCCCAGAATTATCCCTAAATGTTGCGAGCGAGTGAAGGGAACGAGCGTGGTAAAATTAAAATTTTGATATAAAAGATATAACACATAATTATGTGGGCGCCTAATTGTCAAATAGAAGGTTATTCGGGCACCTGAATGCTCAAATATTGAGGCACTTCGCTGCCAGAAATCATCATGTTTCTAAGTGTTGCGAAGGAGCGAAGTGAGCAAGGAAGAAAGACAATTTTCTATCCAGTAAATTGCTATTTCCTCATGAAATTACATACTTCTGTGGTGTTTAAGGTTTTCAAGAAATAGACGTTATTCCAAGAATTTTTTTTTAAATCTTACATATTCTTCAAATTCATTTGTGGTACCCTAAAAATGTCTTGGGGCACATCGGTTGAAAAACGCTGGATTGGGCAATTAGCCTAGGAAAATGTAAAAGTAGGCTCTTGCTAGATTTACATATACCGTCCTTGTCAAAAGAATTATTGATTTTTCAGTTTTTCGAAGGCTCACTACCCCGGATGTTTATTTATCACGACCCTTCGATAAATACATATTTAGAATAATAAATTCGGTACTGAAAACAGAACAGAAATGCCGTTCTTACACAAAAATTTTGTAATTGTGGTAGACGAAATAATTTTCAAGTGACGCAATTGCAATTCATTCACAATGCATTATATACCATTAGGTTAACTTCAGAATGTGGATATAATTTTGTAATTATTAGAATCGTAACTAATATGTGTTGATACGAACGAGGGGCTGTTTCAAAGGATGTCCTGAATTACTTTTGAATTTCCGAATGATGATTATGATTATGATGATGATGATGATAATAATGATAATGGTAATGATGATGATGACGACTGTAAGATAACGAAGAAAATGATGACTAGAATATTGATGATGATAATGATGATGATGATAATGGTAATGATAATGATTGTAATGATGATGTTATTATTGCCTAGATTCTTTGACAACTTTGTTAAATGGCTTTCGAATCAATGCAATTTTTCAGATAGAAGGATCGGGGGAGAGAAGGAGAAGGAGGGAGAGAGAGAGAGAGAGAGACTCAGACAGACAGACAGGCAGACAGAGAGAGAGGGAGAGAGAGAGAGAGAGAGAGAGAGAGAGAGAGAGAGAGAAACCGATGACCGTTAGCTCCCTCACAAACTCAAAGGGTGACTACTGTACTACGCCGCGACATCGGTGTCACCCAATACATGGCTCTACCGGATATCCGAAGATGAAGTAATTGGTTTTGGTACTAGTACGTACAACGCACTCTCCAAATCAGTGGTTGATAAAAGGTTAAAGATATTAACAAAGTATGAAAATGAAAACAAAGGGGGGGGGGGAAGATCAACTAGACCAGGGTATGCCTGGTAATTCCTGACACGGTCTGGTACTAGTGTGAGATATCAATCTAGGGTAGAAAGCCTATAAA